GCCCAGGCAGGCCCGAAGGTCTGCGGGGGCGCAGGAAGCCACGAGCCCGGTGGCGGACAGCGAAGCAGCCCCATTGTTAAAGGGTGCCCAGCGGGTGCCGGGGGCTGGCGAGCGGGGCTGCGCGTTTCCCTTGACCTGCCCGTGCCAGACATCGTGGATATAAAGCCTGTGAACATGGAGGAGCTGACGGAGGTGATCACCGCGGCGGAGTTTCACCCGCACCACTGCAACACCTTCGTCTACAGCAGCAGCAAGGGCACCACCCGGCTGTGCGACATGCGGACAGGCAGAAACGGGTCTGAGCTGTGTCTCTGCAGTGGGCGTTCGTCTGTGCAGCCCCGTGTCCCGGTGCCCGGACGTCAGGGTCTCGTTTCTCCCTTCCTTGGTGCGTTTTCCGGGCAGTTTGTCGTGGTCGATGCTGTGACCCATGTGAGATAAAGCCCCCATTTCCCTTCAGCCTCAACCACTGGGTTCCAGCATTAATGCACATCTTCAGCAAGTCACTAGAAATATAAAGGTTTTCTCTCTGGGTCTCAGTTCCACACCTTTTGGAAGTGCAGGCATATAAAAAAAAAAGTGATGAGATATATCACACCAGGTCTTTGGTGCGTATGATGGCTGCAAAAGCAGTAAATCCAGAAATGAAATGAGTAGGTTGCTAATGAAGTGGCCAGCAGTTTCTTTCTTTTTTTCTACTCATCCTTTACACATTGGTAGTTCATTAATGAAAATGGCCGTCTTACTGGTAGCAGCTCAGTGAAATACTTGCATGAGCACAAGAACCTGGCATTTCTGAACAGGTTGGTGTACCTGTTGTTATCTGTCCCGTAGTAGTTTCTGAATGGCCGTTTTCTGCCGAGCTAGGTATTGTAAAAAATAAAAAATAAAAGGACTGGATAGACCTAAATGACTTTACTGTCTGCCTTAAAGACAAGGACAGCAAAACACGGCAGAAGCAAGGGTTGTTATGCTATATGACTGGCAGTCTGAACCACTGAGTCCCTCTCTGGGTGGTTTGAACGTTGTCCTCTGAACATTCACATTTTCTTTCCAGCTATGTGGTTGTGCAGCCAGCAATGAGAGATTTTGGGTGGCCAGGGTAAAACTTGTTTGAATTTTCTTCAGAAAATGGCCAAAAATGCAATCGTGTTGCAAGAAAAGCATGCACAAACTTGGTGCAACTTGCTGAAGCCCAGTGCTAATAGTCTAGATCTAGAGAGCATCTTGGTGGAGATTCGCATCTCCTAGAGATGATGGCAAATGACACACCACCGATTGCTTTTGAGCTTCCAGGAGTGCAATTACAGTCTGATGCCTGTTTTTAAGCTGGAGTAAAGTAGATAGAGAGGCAAGGTTATATTTCTGTCCAGATCAGGAGCTCTGGAAGTGTCGAATGACAGTATTCCCATTTCCTGAGCAAGGCATACCTTCCTATTCTCGCATTTCACTACTGTATCTAACAGTCCTGCGGTGACAGCTCCCAGCTGAGATTTAAAATACAATTAAGGAGCAAACAAAATTCATTTTCTTGACACTTCAGTGGCAGAAGCCCTCATTTGGTATTTCCTTTTGTTCAGGTGCTGTTATGTCCTTTTAGTCCTCCGCAAGCATGCGGTGAATACAAGTTCACTTTGACCTCTCCCTTGACATTTTTTTATTGATTTTCCTCCATGCCTCAGAAGCATCAGCCTCAGTCAACTGCAGTTCAGCAGATGTGTGAGTCGGAATTGAGACAGTTCATCAAAGTTCAAAATGAAAAGCAACATTGGCTTTTGGAGACAAATTCTCCAACGGAGATATTTAATAACTGTCAATATTTAATAAAAATGCAGATGATAGCACTGCACATCCCAGTCATGTTTATTTAGATAGATGGAGTTTGCTGCTTGAGGGCAGCTTTTACTTACGCACTTCTCTTATTAAATTTTGTTTGCGCCCTTTATTTGAGGCTCCTGCAAGCTGCACCTCACGTGTGTTACTCCAACTGTAGTTGCCGTAAGGGAGAAGAGCATCTTCCATATATAAACCTCTGCTCCGCAGGGACTTAGCGAGCAGTGTGCTGTGATATTCAGACTGGCAGTAGTCCTGTGAGGGCGGTAACTACGGGGGCAGGCTATGCGTAAAGACATTGCATGAGTTGTCCAAAGCGCCACGGGAACCCGAAGGGGAGAGCAGGATTCCCAGAGCAACTCGCAACGCCAGCAAGAATAATCCTGTTCTGAAGAGTGCGTAAAGTATTGTGGAAAAAACATTTTAAGTGCAATATGCAGGACAGAGAGCTTGTGTGCCTGAGATCCACTCTTGGCCTGGGCATACATCGCTGTGCAGTCACTGGGACGTCCCCTCCTGGTAGGCAGCTAGAAACCACATTTCCTGGGACCTCCACACTGCTGTCCAAATCTTTATCAGGATACTAATTATCCAGCTGATCAACGAGATGATCACTGAAAACATGCTGCCAATACCTGTCATCAAAGCTCTCACTTTTCCTTTACTGCAAGTTTTCAGGTGAAAACACAAAACTCGTTCCTGGTAGAGAAGATGAGGAGACTCATTCAGTGGGGTCAGGACTTGCAGCAGCAGCTGGATGGACTCAGGCTCATCTGGCAAGCGATGCCACAAAACCGGGGTTACACTGCACCGGGCTGGCAGGTGGCGGTGCCGATGCTGGAGGAGATCCACGGGACGCGATGACGTGCAAGGCTCGGCACCGGCACTTGAGGCGCAAGGCAGCCTTCACACGGACACTGGAAAACCAAGAGAAAAGTGTGTGTTGGTGGCAGTGCATCATCACTGCCATGGTCATGGCAACTGGCCTGTGACAACTACCAGAAGTTTTGTGGAAAACTGCAGTACAGATCGCTCTGCTCTTACTGTGGATTTGGCAAAGGATGATAGTGACCATCAATAGGAGCAGCAGCATCTGATGCCCGCACTGCCTGCAGCCCTAGACATTACTTTTTTATGACAGTTGCATGGCAACAAATGGACTACAGAGGAACAAAGTGAGTACGGGGCAGGTGCTGAGGATGGAAAACTGGGAAAATGGGGGCATCTCTGCAGCACAGAGCAGAGGAGCAGATTTAAAGAAGAGCTGGATTGGGTTTGTCTCACCTCACTTTGGGTCTACATTAAAGACAGCTACAGCTGAGCTGGTGGTCTAGATTGTCTTTCTGGGCAGAAGCAAGAAACAGGCTCTTTGAATGGGATTTTTTTTTGATCTGCTTTAGGTGGCTACCTTAGGAGGAGATGGTTTGCACACCGGGGTGCCTGTATCTCTCCACTCGCTGTAAATAGGGTCTACATTTGCACAGTTGCCTAATATACATCAGGAACCCAAACCCAGCTCTGCTGCCCATGCTATAACCAGTCAAAGCTGTCATTGCGTGTCTGTCCGCAGAGGTCCCAAACCAGCATCCCGAGTCTCCCGGTGCAGCACGGGCATCGTAGCAAGAGCTGGTGACAAACCCAGTGATACCAGTAGCGCCCCAGCCAGCTGAACCAGCTGAATGTTTTTGCATGAATTTCACAAGTCATCTATCTTAGCTGAACTTCCCTGTTCATCGCTGCTGCCACATTGGTCCCCAAATGCACACCCTTATTTCCTAGCATGGCTGGGGGAAAGAAATGCCTTGCTTTACCCATAAGGTCCTCAGAGACAGAGACTCAGCTGCTGGCCAGGTAGAAGAAAAGGAGCTGACAGCAGAAAAAAAATCAAAGCCTAAAAAACTACAAAGACTACAG